TAGCACTTACTTCAAGTATGTGTTGGGGATGGTTCAGCTACAATTACAGGCCCTTCTCAAAAAATTAGCATATTGTGATAAAGGTCATTATTTTCCATAATGTAATGATAAAAATGAAACTTTCATATATTTCAGATTCATTGCACACCAACTGAAATATTTCAGGTCTTTAATTGTTTTAATACTGATGATTATGGCATACAGCTCATGAAAACCCAAAATGCCTGTCCCAAAAAATTAGCATATCATGAAAAGTTTCTCTAAACAAGCTATTAACCTAACCATCTGAATCAACGACGTAACTCTAAACACCTGCAAAAGATTCCTGAGGCTTTTAAAAACTCCCAGCCTTGTTCATTACTCAAAACCACAATCATGGGTAAGACTGCCGACCTGACTGCTGTCCAGAAGGCCATCATTGACACCCTCAAGCAAGAGGGTAAGACACAGAAAGAAATTGCTGAACGAATAGGCTGTTCCCAGAGTGCTGTATCAAGGCACCTCAGTGGGAAGTCTGTGGGAAGGGAAAAGTGTGGCAGAAAACGCTGCACAACGAGAAGAGGTGACCGGACCCTGAGGAGGATTGTGGAGAAGGGCCGATTCCAGACCTTGGGGGACCTGCAGAAGCAGTGGACTGAGTCTGGAGTAGAAACATCCAGAGCCACCGTGCACAGGCGTGTGCAGGAAATGGGCTACAGGTGCCGCATTCCCCAGGTCAAGCCACTCTTGAACAAGAGACTGCGTCAGAAGCATCTCGCCTGGGACTGCTGCTGAGTGGTCCAAAGTTATGTTCTCTGATTACAGTAAATTTTGCATTTGCTTTGGAAATCAAGGTCCCAGAGTCTGGAGGAAGAGAGGAGACACAGAATTCACATTGCTTGAGGTCCAGTGTCAAGTTTCCACAGTCACTGGGGTGTCATGTCATCTGCTGGTGTTGGTCCACTGTGTTTTATCAAGCGCAGGGTCAATGCAGCTAGCTATCAGGAGATTTTGGAGCACTTCATGCTTCCATCTGCTGAGAAGCTTTATGGAGATGAAGATTTCATTTTCCAGCACGACCTGGCACCTGCTCACAGTGCCAAAACCACTGGTAAATGGTTTACTGACCATGGTATTACTGTGCTCAATTGGCCTGCCAACTCTCCTGACCTGAACCCCATAGAGAACCTGTGGGATATTGTGAAGAGAAAGTTGAGAGACGCAAGACCCAACACTCTGGATGAGCTTAAGGCCGCTATCGAAGCATCCTGGGCCTCCATAACACCTCAGCAGTGCCACAGGCTGATTGCCTCCATGCCACGCCGCATTGAAGCAGTCATTCATGCAAAAGGATTCCTGACCAAGTATTGAATGAACATGATTATTTGAAGGTTGGTGTTTTTTGTATTAAAAACACTTGTCTTTCATTGGTGGGATGAAATATGCTAATTTTTTGGGACAGGCATTTTGGGTTTTCATGAGCTGTATGCCATAATCATCAGTATTAAAACAATTAAAGACCTGAAATATTTCAGTTGGTGTGCAATGAATCTGAAATATATGAAAGTTTCATTTTTATCATTACATTATGGAAAATAATGACCTTTATCACAATATGCTAATTTTTGAGAAGGACCTGTACATCACATTTTACCTCAATGTCATAATTGACAGAGTTATAGACATTATGTTTCCTAGGGTCATTTGGTCTCTCTTGTAAATGAGTTCTCGAGGCTCAATGGGATTTACCTGTCTAAATAAAGGTTGAATGAATGAAATCTTGAATTGGGCTGACCACCACACACACACACACACACACACACACACACACACTTTTTGCTCTTCAGCTGCTTAGGATAAAAAGACAATTCCTGTTTGCTCAGGAAAAAGTGTAATTTACATCTCAGTCTTAAACAGCTAGCACATGCAATCAAAATAAAATAAAAATTAAAAAAGTGAAACTTGCATATAGCATCACGTGCAACTTGAACATATTTCTGCATGCAGTGAGCAGCATGTGTGTAAACACAGACAGGAACATGCTGCATCCATGCCAGGAAGTCAGTCTAAACTTTGAGGCCACAGCACCTCAAAAAACTGCACCTGACACTTTAAGATGCATTTAGTCATGAAAAAACCGGATCAAATCAATAATTATAATGACCATAAGTGGAAGCGGACAGGTTACACTTTACAACAGCAGTTCCTCACCTGTTGAGTTGTTTGAGGCTGCAGGAAGAAATTCAGCTACTTGTTCATGTCCGTGTTCATTTGAAAAACAGCAGATAAATTCCCTTTACGCGTTCAGAAAACAGAACCAATTCTGAAAATCAAACTCATAAACTGCTGAGGAAAAAGAAGTGTCAGCTTATCCTTCAGTCCAACATCAAAAACAGTTCGCTCGATCCTGTCAAAATTAGTTAACGGATAAAAATGTAGTTTTCTGCCGTTCTGCCCCACCTCTCGAGACGGCTCTCTTATAAAAATTAATTTTATTTTTTAAAGTTACACAAACAGGAGATACTAGAACCGCAGTTATCGGAAAGGGATTCAGACAACTCGCTCTTCTCTTTTCTCCGACAGAAACATTGAAGTTTTTTTTTTTTTGCCCCACCTTTTTTTTCTCCTTCCCACACCGCGCATGCGCGTTACGACAGTCCGCCTAAAAATAAATGGCCAAACTTTTGAGTCAAACCTGTGGACGAACTTGATTAACAGTGAGGCAATGTTCAAACAAAAAGTAGACGTCAAACGCACCAGTTAAGGTTTTTTTATTGGTTTAAACGGCAGACACGTGACTCAAGAACGTTTCAGGGTTTTTTTTCTTGCACAAAGTACAATGGCAGTTTTATTTCAAAATAAAACTGCGCGAAAATATGGGCTAAGAAGCCCACTGTCTTTTTCCACTGCGACTCTTCTGTAGTGATGATGGTGTCATCTCAAAGAGTATTACCAACTTTCAAATGAACTCGAAGCTTTGAAAGCTCAGCACATCTGCTGGTTCACATTTCAAGAGAAGAAAACCATTTGAAAGTTATCGATTACACAAAGCTGCCATCACCACAGAACAAGAGGCATCCATGTTATGTTGCCCCCTAGTGGCCAAAACAACCATTCTTTAAGTCGCATTCAGTAACGTTTCCTAGACTAGTCTGGACAGATGTGTCCTTGCACATCAGGCTGAAGGAATGTTGGACAAACAACTAAATCCTTGTGTGCAGCAGTAACTTTTACTGATTATTCAAATCATTCCTGCACACACAGTGTTAAGGACTGCTTTCCCTTCCTAGACGTTAAAATGTTGGCTTAACATCACAAATGTTCCCAAAAGAGAACCTCAATAGGAATGGACTCGTATTTCAGTACAACCACATTAATGTCAAAATTTTATATGCATGTCCCATAAGTTATTAACGTCTCAGAGACTGATGCATTCGTTTCTAGATTGTTTTTGTAGCTCTGAAGCAGTAAACAGTAAAAAAAAAAGTGGCAACAACCTCTGTCAAATGTTCAAAATGTAGCACAGTTGAAGCAGCTTAAGTTACATTTCACAGTTTGTATGTTTTGCATGTTAAATACCAGCCAAACTTCCTGAAAAACAAAATAATGCATGCCTTTTTGTTGTCGTTTGTTTTACGATTGCCATAAACAATTTGTGTAGACCCAAACCTATTGGCTCAAAAAAAGCTCCTTTGTGCAAGATATTGTTGACAGATCACGTGTAGATCAGCACAGCCAATAATAAAAATCCTATCACTTGGCACGGCTTCCAATACAAAATAATGGAAAGAACAATACTTTTAAGGGTCATGCCAGTACTTTAGCCCTTATAATTTACATCAGTTTTGGAAGCATTTCATCAGCTGTTAAAGGTGTTAACTTCTGTAAGACATATCTGTAAGACACATGTCACATGACATGATGGGAGCATCAGGTCGGGAACATTTGTTGTTAACGTAAAGCAGCACTGGCTTTAAGGCTCATGCTATGGCTGCATCACAAAAACACAATGAAACAAACTAATCACGCTCGCTCTTTACTGGGATGGATTACAATGATTCAGAGTGGGATTTACTTTATGTAGGCAAAAGAAAAAAAAGAAAAATTTCAATACTGTACTTCAAAAAAAACTTTAAATGTAGCCAACCAGATGGGTTGAACCCTAAACTTTACTTTTAAATACATTGATCCAACCCATCAGACAACAGAACCATTGTCAACCTGATTTCTTCTCAAATGATCAAGAAACTAACAATGGGTGTTTCTGTATGCGTCACATTAGAGCCCCAATTAAAGCCATCTTCACCACAAATGAACAAAACTTATTTTCTGAGGTTTTTATCCAGTAGCTGCACCATTTGTAGTGTTTAAGCAGCAAAAAGATCAAATTTGCCTGTGAGAAACTATCAAATTTAAACTTCAGACAATAGAGATGTGTCAAACACACATGTGGTTTCATTCTCACTTGAGTTCAAGTTAAGACTGATCTGTACTGTTCCCACATCGAATGCATACAATCTAGGATGAAAAGTAGCGACTTGAAAGAGCTCCAACTTTAGCAGAAGAAAAAGAGGAGAAAATTAACCGGGATGTTTTTGAAGAACTACCGGTAATCTTTTCTGACAGAGATAACGTTGGATCGCACCTCATCTCTTGAAAACAGGCTACAGCCACTCAGAGCTGAAGTCACATCCAGCACCCGTCTCATGAAAACACAGATGTGAAGCAGATCCTCGCTGAAAACAGGAAGTGACCATGAAAAGCGGAACTGCCAACGTCAAGATTTCTGTTGTCAAATCTCAGTTTACGTGACGCGTGTATTATACGATGGCTCAACACCAACAAACCAGATGGCTTTAAAACTTGTTTAACGTCAGCGATTGTACTATTCCACTTTAAACTGGACATTAGAGCAGATCCTGAATGCTTTTGTCCACCAAGCATTACTTTCTACAACCTCCAATTATCAGAACATCTATTTTTGATTGACGACTCAAAAGTTGATTCCTCCATCATGTTCTGATATCTGAACATTAAAGTATACAATCTTGGTCCTTTAATATGAAGGTAAAGTCCAGTCCAAACAATGAATCAGAAGCTACTGAACTGAAAATCAGCGTAGACTCTCAGAATACAAGGCGCCAAAACCCAAATGGTCAAGAATGGTGAACAATATGATCTGTTAATTCAGGCAGAGTGCAAAGGGATGACAAATTTGCAGCCAAAAGGAGAATGGTACTTGATCCCAACTTCCTGGAACACATGGCGAGGAACACCTATGTCACACAGGTAGACCCTGCCGGCCTCTTCGGCCAAAGGAAGGGGGAGGCAAAGTGAAAGGGACCACTTTGCCTCAACTGCATGGCCCTGTCCACTTACAGGAGGATCCAAGCTGAGCACTGGTGCTCTGTTCTTGTTGGCCCAGTCTGCAGATGCCCGGTACCAAGGCTGGTCCATAAGGAATGTATTTTCATGGCAGTCCAGACAGTTTATAATCAAATCAACCGGGGTGTCGGGAAGGTCTTTGAAAGTAAAGAAAAAGTAATTTGTTAGTTACTTAATTTTTCACAACAGAGTATAAACTAATAAAGTCACAAGCAAACCCACCTTTGATGCTGGACACCTGTTTGCCACCAGTTTTGCTGAAGAGCGTGAGCTCGTTTGTCACAGAATCGAGCATCTTGACAAAGTTCGGCAAAAACAGTATCACCTCCACTTCGTGGTTGGCCAGGTGACGACCACAACTAATTCCCTGGGCTCCCTGAACATGAGGTCCACACAGCAGCGCCACCGTGGGGTGCTGGTGTAAATTTTTTGGTGTGAATCTTGGGAGTTAAAAAAAAAGAAAAAAGCATATGTGAATGTGCTAAAAACAAGATTGTTTAAAACGGACACAAAAAAAGCTTAAATTTGTAAAATTCAAACCCCAAAAAGTTAGGCAACTGGCTAAAAACATTTTCTAGACATCTTCTAAGATTATGTGGCCATGTCTCTACCTTACCCCTACATGCTCACCTGTTAGGCCCTCCTAATAATGTAAGGGCCATCTGACTGGCGCAGACTCCAGTCATCTCAAGTCTTCGCTCCAGTGTGAGACCGTGACGCTCAGCAGCAGACAACAGACGTTTGTGTAGCTCATAAGATATACTTGGCACAACAAGTCCAGAGTCTGATGAGGCAAAAAAAAAAAGAGAAAGAATAAACCTTTTTGTTTTGTTCATAAACACGAAGTTCTGTTCAGAATGTGAAATATTTACCAGTGCAGTATTCTTTGGCTCCAGGTTGAGGTACAATGATCTGTCTGTAAACAACAGGTTTACCCTCCAGGATGTTCTCATCATGACGGTACCGAGAGGGCGTCTGATCTTGAGGCGTGCCACGTGACCTTGCACCGTTACGCCGCTCTGTTGTGTCAATCTCTGAGAAAACTGCAGCTTTGTCAAAAAGCGCCAGGTTCCCTTCAAAATCAAAGTCTGTATCCAGACCATCATCCACACCATCTCCAAAGCATTCATCATCTCGGAGTTTCATCTGACCATTCTTCACCCCATTCTTTTTTGGTGTTGCTTGATTTACCCCTCGGCTGCTCGATGACCCTGATGGAATTGCAAGAACATTTATTAGTGGTATGTCATAGCAATCAGCAGTCACATGCTGCTTAATGAATAGCTCTTACAGGAGTTATGTCGTCGACGAAACCCCTTAGGCTGGCCCAGCAGATCCAGATGTCGCTCTCCGTAACTTTTCGAGCATTGCTGTGGTGAGTTTAGTTTCTCAACAGATCTGGGGTCACCCTTTGGGACTGCAACGGGCACGCTGTTTGCATTTGTAGCCGTAGTAGACGTCGTCCTAGTATTGCCATTTCTGATATCTAAAATCTTTAGTTCCTGTATATCAATGGCACTGAGGAAGGGAACAAAATCAAACTTATTGTCAATAAATAAGAGCAGATTCAAACAATCAGACCAAACTGTGGAAAAGAGGCAGCAGCAGAGAGAAGCCTATATATACCTGAATGTGACCTCAGGAACAGGGCATTTGACTCCGTTATGGAAAGGCTGTCGTAAGGAGATGGTTTGGCTCGACTGGTTCACAGATGAAACCTCTCCTTGATAAACTCCCAGCGTTGGCCCACAGTTAATCGATACCAAACTACCCAACCAGTCCGCAGCCATTATCTGCAAAATGTTAAGTATTCATTAAACATGTCTAATCAAAGAGGCAGAGCAGCAACTATAGGCTTTGTTACAGCAGGACTTTAACTTTTTGAACGAACAACTCAAATGTCGACAGCTCATAGTAGTTAACGCTAGCTTAGCATTAACTTTGGCCTGTTATCAAGTGAAGTTGCTACTCGGTGTTAATTTTAAAATAAAAATGCTGCAGTTAAGAACATTGAAGATTTGTACCTTTTAAGATCAACAAGAAGCAAACTCCTTTCGAAAACGTAAGCCAATAAACGATAATAGGGTCTAAGAAACGTGTTATTCGATAATATAGCACCTTAGCTTTTATAGTTACGGCTACTAACTTCCTGTTTCCGGAAAATGACACTTTTCAAAATAAAACGTGAATCTTAAGCACAACCCGTAACATTAGAAATATTATTATTATTAACGGTTATGATAAAGCGTCACTGTCAAAGATAAATATTTATTAGTGATTTGATCATGACCAATATGTCAACGTAATTAGTCATTTTTAATGTTTTTTTTTATTTATTTATCTTTTTTATATAGTTTGAGTTACAAAGTAAGTTTATTGTCATTCACATCACATGTGGTACATGAAGTGGAACGAAATTATGAACTCTGCAGTGTCCCAGTTAAACCCAAAAATAGCAAAATATAAAGTGTAAATAGAAACAGTATATCACAGTCAGAGTCAGAGTTTCTTTATTGTCATTCGCACTTCATGTGGTACATGTGGTGGAGCGAAATTATGAACACAGGGTCCCAGTTACATCCAACAATAAAATGTATAAGAAAAACAGTAATAACATCTAAGATATGAACTAAGAAAAACATCAACTAAATATACACTAAGCACTCATAACATAAAAACATTGAACATCAGCACAAACATGAACATGAGTCTGTGAGCAGATGTGCACGCATGAACACATCAACATTGAAACAGATCAGCAGCAACATGAAACAGATCAGCAGCAACATGGTGTGATTTTTTCACAGTGATTATTCTAGTTAGAGATTCATGAGTCTAACAGCCTCAGGGTAGAAGCTGTTTCTCAGTCTAGTGGTTCTACACTTAATGCTCCTCAACCTCCTTCCTGAGGGGAGTGGGGCAAAAAGTGTGTGTGCCGGGTGAGTGGGGTCCTTCATGATGCAGGTGGCCCTCTTCCTGGACTGGACACCTGTCCAGTGTGTCCCCCGCCTCTCGCACAGTGACTGCTGGATATGGACACCAGTGACCTCCGTGACCCAAAGAGGAAGAAGCAATCAATCAACCTTTATTTATACAGGTAAATCCCATTGAGCCTCGAGGACTCATTTACAAGAGAGACCTGTAAAGCAGGTAAAGATAGTAGATGGATGGATAACTGGCATTCATCTGCTGACTCTATTTAAGAATAATATACCTATTTGCATCATCTATTTCCTGCAGTAAACCTGTTCTCATCCAGACATTGCCAACACCGTTGTATAAATCAGTTTTTGATTCTGCGTGTGCTTTTCAACTTGCTCTAAAAACCTCAGTATGTGAAACTAGACTGTTTCACAGACTGAGGTTTTTAGAGGGTTGCTCTTGATCAAGAAGATGGTCAGCTTGTATTTCTTCTTATTTTTTTATTTTCACTTTTAATCTTCTGAACACCAGTGCACCACAACTATTCCATCAGTCTTATTAAATTACTCATCCGATCAATGCACAAAGTTTTAAAGGAAGCTGGGCTTCAGCGTGTTTTGACTTGCTCATGCAAAGAAACAGCATTAGATTTAGGCAGCGATGTGCAACATTTCACACTTACTTGAAGAATGTTAGCATCATTTCAGACAATTCAGAAGAATGCTAATTCTACAAGCTTAAACAATCCCTTTAAGAAAATTAATGAATGTTTGGTTTTACTTCTTTTGCCTACAGCAGTTTGCTGTGAAAAGAATTTGACCAGAGGAAATCTTTGTGAGTTATGAGCACTGTTTTGGAAGTACAACAACAGTAAGGTGGTGGCGTCATGTGGAGACAATCCAGGAAGTGATGATCATGACACACTCATCCAGCTGCAGTTTGTGTACCGAGGTCTCCATGGAGACGCACCTCAGGGCGCTACTGAAAGCTTGCAATGAAAGCTGTGAGGTTTACAAGCAAAGCAGGACAGAGAGGGCTTCTGAAGTAAAGAGAGGGCATTTCAGATTCAACTCAATTTCACATGAAAATTGCTCTTTTCTGTAAACAGGAAATTTTGAATAAAGCGGAAAAGATCAGATTTTTAGATCCACAATCCTGTTCATTTTCCTGTGGTCCGTCTACTGCCCAGCAGGCAAACAGTGGAAAACATCAGACGTGACCTGAGAATAGCCACAAACCTCCTGCTGCCACCTTTGTGTGAAAATCTGTTCTCTGCACGTAGACAAACTCGGAGCAGACAGTGAAAGGTCTTCCCCTTCACAGAGGAAACCTGCTGCTTGGATTGAGAAAGACATTTCTGGACATTAAGCCCTTAATGCAGTAGTTCTCTAATTAAATCTCATGAACATGTGGGACTGTAGCTCTCACTTCACAGCACAGGTAAGATCTGATCGAGATGCGTTTTACCTGTCTGCTTAATCTGCAAGTTGTCATTTTAACTACGGTAATCCTGTGACTCTTTAAAGACTTCAGCATGGTGTGGTTCAGCAGCTTCTGGACCAGGGTTCTTATCAAACATAAGAGCAAGGTAAGTTGATGTCAAATGACAAAATCTGAACTTTTGGCCAGTTTTTGTTAAGATTGGTGTGTTCTGGCTTTCTTCAGGCAGAGTGATCCAGGTTTGAGGAGGTGGCAATCCATGTATAATCTGGCTCATGAAAGTCCATCAAGATGGTCTCCTTTATCAGGGGCTGAATTAAGGACTGGTCGAGCTGGAGGCAGCTTTTATCAAACAGAAGCAGAGCGATGGCTCCAGGATGCTGATGAGCGACTGAGCACGCAGTTGGACCGGCTGAGATCCAGAGACATGAAGCTGAGCTACAGCACATCTAGGGCACAAATGCTTGACATGATGCAAAAGGTAAGAGATTATAATTATGTGTTTATGTGGTTTTGCGTTTGTATTTTTCGTTGTTTTGTATTTTTCGTGACGTGCACTCGTTTAGGACAGCAATTAAAAACTGTGATCTTGGGCAGGATGCAGCAAAGTTATCCCTGTTTGACAGGAGCCGAGAGCAAAAAGAGCTTGAGGAAAAGTAAGTGCAGCATAATACAAACAAGATGACCTTAAAGAGATTTATAAAAATCAAAATAATCTAACGTAAAATTCACTTTTAAGAGTCCTGAAGCTGGAGAGTGACCTGCTGCAGATGAGATCTGCTTTGAACACAGGAAGCAACGATCAGCCGGCGGACCTCTCAGCTCCTAATTCTCTCAGCAGAACATTTTCAAATGCTCAGGAAGACTTTACAAAAAAGGTTAGTAAATCTTTATATTATATATCAAATACATGGTTTGTGTATCTGCACATCAATATTTGTTTGGATTTGATGAGAAGCAGAAGGTTAACGCAGAGCTGAGAAAGGCTCTGAGAGAAGTCGAGGAGAGGGCCACAACCCGTGAAGAAGAGAGCAATGAAGAGATGAACTCAAACCCTGCAGGGTAAAACCCTGCAGGGTAAAACCCTGCAGGGTAAAACCCTTTGGGTGCGCAGCACCTTGGGACAACATGTAACCAGATTAGATCGATTCATAGACAAACAGAATATTTTAAGTAATAGTCAGTATGGGTTTAGAGCAAATAACTCAACATCAATGGCTCTCATGGAACTAATAGAAGAGATAGCAACTGCTGTTGATCAAAAACAGTATTGTGTTAGCGTTTATGTTGATTTAAAAAAGACCTTCGACACTATTGACCGCACCATTCTCCTTGACAAACTGAATAAATATGGCATTAGAGGATAAGCGCTACAGTGGTAGTTGTTTGAACAATATGAGACAGTTTGTACAGGTAAACCATGTAAGATCTGAATTTTGTGTTAATGGACGTGGAGTAACTCTAAATTGTCCCTAGATGTGAGTGAGAGAGTGAATGGTTGTTTGTCTCGTTTGTCTCTATGTGTCCCTGTGATGGACTGGAGACCTGTCCAGGGTGTCCCCCGCCCCTCGCACTGTGATTGCTGGACATGGGCACCGGCGACCCCCGTGACCCAAAATGGAAGAAGCGGGTAAAAGATAATGGATGGACGTGGAGTTCCTCAGGGCTCTGTGTTGGGACAAAAGTTGTTTATTTTGTATGTGAATGATCTGGTTGATGTGTCAGGGCTTTTGAAGTGCTTTATTTGCTGATGATACCACATTTTTTTGTTTGGTATATTGAACAGATGTTAGAGATGATACAGGCAGAATTCATAAAAATACAAACTTGGTTCCAACTTTATAAGTTATCGTTAAATTTGGAAAAAACAACTATATGATATTTAGTAATAGAAAAAAATTACAGAAGTCCCATTTAAAATGGACAGTATTGAAATTCATAGAGTTAATGAAATAAAATTTTGGGGTGTTGTTATTGATGAGAAGCTGACATGGAAATCACATGTAAATTACTTAAGAATAAAAATAGCAAAATCATTTTCATTACTGTATAAAGTAAAATAGTTTTTGAATGACAAAGCTTTGTATATATTGTATAATGTAATGATTGTTCCATATTTAATCTATTGTACTGAAGTTTGGGGAAAAGCACGCAAAACTATTACAAACCCTATTTTTATTTTACAAAAAAGAGCTGCAGTAGAAGAATTATTAGTATGAAGTGCTATGGTTACCCAACAAATATATTATTTCATCAGTTGAAATTATAAAAAAAAAAAAAGATTTGGTTGAATATAGTATTTTACAAGTCATGTATAAAGCTAATAAAAAATATTACCCCAAATATTCAATTAAAATTTACTAAAAACGACAGTCATTATAACCTTAAGGGAATGGAAATGTTTGTAAAACCTCCATTTTGAACTTAGTGTGAAGGAGCTGTGTTGTAATTCAGGGAATGATTGTGCATTTGCCTTGATATTGTCATAAAAATTTCTAAAACAATTTATATGTTTAAAAAAAATGAAGGTAAAGTTGTTGAGAAGGTATGGTGCCAGGTGAAGGATGCCTAATGTTTTTTGTTTTCAAGCTGGAGATTGTGCACGTGTAGGTTGTTGTTCATTTGTAGTTATTTTATTTAAATAAGGGGCTGATATAAGAATTTTCTTCTTCGTTCTGCACCCTTTTCATTCAATGTTTTTTTTTCTT